GTTCTCGGGGGAGTGGAGCACATTCTTCAGATGCATATCATGAGGCTGCTGATGAAGGTAGGCGTACAGACATGCGGAAGGGAGTACTAAGAGAGAACTGGTAATTCCTAAATATAATGATGGGCTAGGTGAGCTAACGGTCATGTGCACAGTGCTGAGTAACTGGTAGTTCAAACACTGCAGCTGTAGGACACAGGAGCAGTCAGCCTTTTATAGTAGATTGAGCATGGGGCCTTTGTCCCTTGTTGCTGGCACAGAGCTCCTAAACTCCAGGACTGTGATGAGTGGCGAGTCTCCATGGTATTCTAATGAGATGACTGGTGGCTGGGGACCCCTGAGTAGCTTCAGGAAGAGGGTATGCCCTCAGAAAGACAGCTATGGTTGGAAGTAGAACTTCTAGCCCTACCTCTGACCTCTAGGGATGGGGAAGGGCTGGAGACTGAGTGGCCAATGCGTTAATAATCATGGCTATATAAGGAAACCACTATAACACCCTTGGAGGGGGTAAACACATTTACGGGCTGGGAGGTGTCATTCTTATACAAGTCCTGGAAGCTGACACAACTCCTTGTCCTGGGCATCTCATCAGGAGGTTCCTGAATTATTGTCTTGGCAGCAAGCCTTCAAGAATGCTGGTAGGCAGAGTACCTGGAACTTGGGACTTGTGTCCACAAGGGCAACAACGGTGTTAGTCTGAGCCCTTCAGCCATGGAGTCTGTGCTTTTGACACACAATGAAATCTTAGCAATAACAGGGCAGCTCCATAAACATGACTTCTAATATATCAGTGTAAGACATGGATTTCATTAGGAATTTGACTTCTTGACTTCTTAGAGGGAAAAGGATGAGCTTGATTCACAAAATTGGTTCCAGAAATAATTCTCAATCCTATATGCCAACAGCCAAACCACTCTAGCATATTCTTCTGGAACTCAACTTGCTGGGCTTCTCAAGCCACCAAGAGAGCAAGAGGGGGAAACACAGACCTGAGCAGTAGGACCGGCCGCAGGCTACCCATCACAGCTTCTGGCTGACCTGGAGATGGTGTGGTCTGAGGATCGCAAGGAGTAAGGAACAGATCTCAGAAATAGACAGTGAGCAGAATATGTGCCCATCTTGGCACCACTTTTCATAAAGAAATTTGATATTGGTTCAAACACTGTGTGTGTGCCCTTTTCTCTGTGTGTTTCTGTGTATCTGTATATTACATATACATAATGGAACATTATTCAGCCATTAAAATTATTTGCGAACTGGTGGGTAGTAGAGAAACATCCACCTACAGTTCTGATGCACTGTACAGCATAGGAAAACTCCAAGGAAGCTGTGCTAGGTGAAGGAACTACACATCACATGACAGCCACTATGTGTTTCCACTTAGAAGAGGTCTCTACTACAGTTATATTCACAGTGACTGAAGAATGGTGTTTCTAGGGCTGGAGGTCGGGTGAATGGGGATAAATTCTTGGTTGGGAAGATGAAGTTCTTGGAGATGGAAGGTGGTGGTAGCTCATGATACTAAAAATATCCCTGATCTTGAAAATTGCAATTTATTTAAAAACGGTTTAATGGGGAATTATGTGTTGTATGTACGTTACCACCACAAACCTATGTTAAGATCATGCAGCATTTGGGAGATGGAGGCAAGAGGATTAGGTGATTAAGGTCATCCTTTACATACCCAGTTTGAGGCCAGCCTGGGCTACCTGAGACCCCATACTTGGGCATCCTTCTCTTCAGACAGCCCAGGTCTATTTATCTCCTCCCTGAGAACTCTACACTCTGCTTCTGAACCACACAGGCTAGTTTCTTGCCCATGCCATGTGCTGACATCACCAGAGCTAGAATTAGCTACTTCCTCCACAGGGTCCTGCCACAGCAGCACAACCCTGCCTTCCCAATGCCTCCGGCATGATTGATGATTCTCCTCCCATTAGAGTCTGCACATGTGCCCAAAAGACTCTGAGAACTTGCCCATCCCCGGGAACACACAAGTCTCTGGGACTCTGTCTGTGGCTGGAGATCATCTGTTGTCACAGAATATGTCCTTCCCTGCCTGGCAGGGCCCTAACCTGTGCTCATTGTCCCCTTAGTGCATGGCTGGCTTCTTTCATTTCTCTGCCTGGTGCTCCATGCTTCCTTCTCATACTCTGTTGGCCTTCATCTCTCCCACCACCTCTGGCCAGCTCCAGCAGCAGCTGCCTCCCTGTTCCTAACAACAAGACACAGGCCGTTCACCTCACACACCTGTCATTCATGTGACTCTGTGAGCTGTGCTTGTACCACAGCACCCTCTCCCCAGCAGCTCAGCAGGTGGCTTTCTCAAATCCAGTTGCTGGCCTAAGGCCAGCTCACATGTCCGCTCACTATGCTGGAGACATTTGCTCTCACTGAAGCTGCAGCCCCGCTGTGCAGAGCCTTGCTCAGCAATGTTCTCACCATGTCCCCCCCTGGCAGAAGTTTTCTGTCTTTGCAAAGCTGGGCACTGCTTGTCTGCAGGACGCCTCTGAAGTCCCATTCAGTCTCCAGAACCCCTGCTTCCAATTGTTCTCTGGGTGCTAACCTCACTCCCTTCTCTGGCCTGCATTCCCAGGGCTGACATCTGATTGGCTGTTTGTGGTTGGAAGCTTCTGCTACTAGAACAAATACCTGAGGCAAACAACTCACAGTTTGAGGGGATAGCACATCCTGGTGGCAGCACCTGGCAGAGCAAAGCCATTCACCTTGTGGCCATGACCCAGGAGAGAAGAGATGAAGCTGAGCATGATGGTATATGCTCAAAAGGCCAGCCAGCATTTGGTCAGGGTGAGGCAGGAAACTCACTGTGAGTGAGTTCAAGGTCAACCTGGGCTGTAGAATGAATTCAAATACAGTGTAGGTTACCAAGTGATACTACATCTGAAAAAACTAAAGCAAACAAACCACAAAGAGAAGAGACCAGCAGCCCACCAAGATGACTCGGCCGGTAAAGATGTTTGAAGTGCAAGCTCGATCCTGGGTTAGAGTCTCAGAATTCATGTAAAAGATAGGAGAGACATGACTACAGAGTTGCCCTCTGACTTATACACACACACACACACACACACACACACACACACACACACACACTGTGTCATGCTACCCCCACACATCATACACACACATTACACACACAGATAAAATAATAATAATAAATAAAAATTTTAAAAAAGCATAGACCAGAGTCCCACAACCTCCTGTGATGTAAAACCTCCCAGCAGGCCCTACCTCTTAAAACTTCTAATATTTGTCCAGTAGTGCTGCACTGAGGTCCAAACCTTTAACACTGGGCCTTTGGGGGACGTGAGACCCAAATGACAGCATAGCTGGTGTCAGCACATATAAGATGCTGATGCTCAAATGACAGGTCTGTTTAAAGCTCCGTGCACAACCCCACACTCCTTCCTTGTCCCATATGCACGTATGCCAAGTTCTGTGTCCATTTCCTGTCCCCCAGGATAGCACGTGCCATGAGCTAATAACACGGGCGATGAGCTGCAGGGGAAAGAGCCACTCTGCTTGCAAAAGGAAGATCGGGCTGCTGAGCCACACTCTGGAGTGGGAAGTGTTGTGGGATATTTTGATTGCATTCTGACACTCCCAAAACTACCAATAAAATTTGCTTTGAATCAGAGGGCGGAGCTACCTACTAGGTGACCAAAATTAGCACAGAGGTTCTGGAGGACCAAGGGCATATAGAAAGAAACAGGAAATAGTAGGGGGGAGCTTAGAAAGACACTCAGTGCTTTTTGGATCGAGAAAAGAGAAAGAGAGGAGGGGTCATTGGTCGATTCTCCACCACTTATCTTTCAGGTTCTTACCCCAAAATCTGACTCCTGAGTGTTTAATTGACAGAGAATAATTAGATGAATGCTTCCTGGAAGGGAAGCTTTGAAGGCTTTAGGAATTTTGTACCCCAATGTGATGATGACTAATGTCATTGTGACTGGGTTTGGGATCATCTAGGAGATGTCATCTAGGAGATGTCCTTATGATCCTGAGTGTGGTCATGGGGAGTTTCCAGAGAGGTTTAACTGAGGAGACCAGCTGTACCAGCCCACAGACAGGGATCCTGGACTACATAAAGAGGAGGAAATAAGCTGAACCCTAGTACTCACCTCTCTGCTTCCTGACTGGATGCCATGGGACCCACTGCCTCATCCCCCACCCAGCTGCAGCCACACTCACACCACATCTTCCTATTGAGATGGACTGTGTCCTCACACCAAGGAGTGGGGTTGGGGGAGGGGGAAGAGATCCCTTCCTCCCTTAATTTGCTTTCCTCAGGTTGCTGTCACCAGTAACTCATACACTTAATTTGCTTTCCTCAGGTTGCTGTCACCAGCAACTCATACACCAGATGCTTGGGCAAGACCCTTGTGTTTGGTCCTCGAAGACCACAGGCATGGTGGACTCCAGTTCCCTGTTATCATTCCTTGGGGAGGGGCGTCCTAACCTTATCACAGCCATGAGCCGGCTGCATTTCAGAGCCACACAAAGCCAAGCCTCCAGCTCATCTCTGTGTGCACCAGCGAGAACCAGGGCTTCATCTTGCAGTAATTCCAGTGGGAAGGGACTTGAAACATCCATGGTGGGAGGTGGCAGGCACTTTCTGTCATCTCCCCCAAGGGAATATTCAATACACACAGGCTTGATTCAATGAGTCAGCCATAGCTGTGCATGTCCAAAATCATGTTGCCATTTAACCCCTGTCACGGCACCGGGGAGACACAATGTGGTCAATCCCATGGTCCAAGCCTTGTCTTCCACCCGTCTTGTTTGACCACGGTTAAATACAGCTGGCAGGAAGGACAGGCTATTTTTGACACTTCCTTATGGAACTCACACACACAGTGGACTGCATCATGGCAGGCTCAGAGCTCCAGAACAAACACACACCCACTGAGTCTGCTGCTCTGTTGGGGGGACTGAGCCTCACCAGGCCACTCTGGACCTGGGAAGAACATGCTGGGCGCGTTTACCTTCACCCTGTCCATGCCGGCTTCCATCTTCAGTTGCTCTACAGCTTTCCTGGCCTGGGAGATGCTGGTGGTACTATTATTAGACATGCCTTCCTTCATTCTGTGCTCCCTGCAAGGAACCATGGGAAGAGGGTCGGAGTGCTGCTGCCCAGGGAAAGGTGGCCCCTTCCCGCTCTTCCTATGTCCCACCACCTGCAGAGCTCCTGCCCCCAGTCAGATTTGTTCTTTTAGAAGGAGAAGGAACTCCCCCTGCCCTGGTGCACATCTAGACCCACATGGCCAAGACAGGACATTACAGTGCTAGCTATCCCCTGAGGAAGATTCGCTGTCACCCATGCATGGAGAAACTGCTTGAGGGAGACTAGTGATCACAGTGTGTGGCTGAAAGTCAAGCAAACACAAATATAAAGGACAGCGGCCCCCTGGGTTAGGAGTGAGACAGAGGCCAAGACTGGGATCGACGAGTGCTCATTACCCCTAGTAAGAGAGTGGAGACACTGAGGCTCGCTCTGTCTCCTCCCGCCATGCAATGGTATAAGCTCACAGGCATCTTTTAAAGACAAGGGTTTTTTGGTGTATTAGCTAGGTCATCTGCTCAAAGCAGAGTTTATCAGGTGTGGCTTCATATCTTGATTGGAAACGTCCCAGCCAGGAGTGGAGTCACGAGTAACTGGGAATTTGAATTCCAGGGACCTGCAAGCCAGCCCCAGCCTTGGTCTGTCCTGCTCTTCCAGGACCAATGTACCCCTTGGGCAGGGGGATCACTTGCCTGGCCTGGGAGAGAGGGCAGGGAGGGATTGACACAGTGGTGGGCAAGCCACTTGAGATGGCTGGAAATGTGGAAGGAAACAGTTTTAGCTAACTGGAGCTAGAGACAGAAGAACTTTGAAAGGGGGACCAAGTGGGAGGCTTTGGAGTTGTCCCTGTCCCCAACTCACCCAGAGGTCTTTTAGACTCCTCTTGACTGACACCTCTGCTTTTCTGAGCCCACTAGCTACCTCTACAAGACCCAAGTGAGTAAGAAGAAATGGATTAGAGACAAAGGGAGGAGGGATGGGACATGAGCTTTTCTGGGGGAGACAGCGTTTGCCCCAACATAGGACAAAGTAAGAATCCCACTACAGTCCAGCGTGGTGAACCAATTAGTTTACTGGGCTTGCTTACAGAGCAAGTGAGGGGTTGCTTACTACATCGCTGGTGACCTCCAAACAGCTGTGTCACTGAGCAGTCCCATCCCTACATGGATGCCGATGGAGTTCCTTTTCCGTTAACCTTCCACCCCATCTACCCTAGCTCCTCAGAGACCACAGACAGCTGGGGCAGAATTACACTCAGCCTTGGGAGAGAGTGGCTCAAGCTCAGGTGCAGCTAGCTGATGACACCTCCCCCTCCTATGAGGGCATTACAGGCTTGTGAGTAGTCACAGCTGCCCTGATGAAGGAGGTAATGGCAAGTATACTGAGAGGACAACATCCTACAACAGGGGTGGTGACAAAGCTGGACATCCATGCTGCCACCAGGGGACACTGACTGGGTGCCTGGCCTCCAGTAAGATGAGGCAAAAGGAAAATTGAGCCAACTGTTCAGGACCACCCTGGGGCCTCAAGGTCAGTTTCCTTGGGCACACAGGCACATTTACACTGACACATCATCTAGGGACCGCTGGCAGGCTGCATCAGTGGTTCCCAGCACTGTTGTCAGCAAGTGCCAACATAGGATGGAAGCTGGGTTGAGGCAGTTTCATCCCAGGGCTGTTGATATGGCCTGACTCAGGACAGGGAAAGGATTTCCAGAATGATGAGAATTGTCACACCTTCATCTGCCTTGGTGAATAGTGTTCCTAGGGGAGAGGAAGTCTAGAACTGACAGTGATGGTAGGAGGAACTTCTGCCACCATGGGGACCCTGCTCCCTGACTCTCACCTTTCTGCTCTGTGGAGGCCTTTCTTACCTGCTGAGAGGTGGCACAGGGACAGGTCCAGGTAGGGGACACTGGTGGCAGCAGCAGTCAGCTGTTGGAAGACAGGCTGATTCGGGGTCCTGCTACAGGGGCTCTCCTGAAAACACAAACAGATGCATGTTGTCCTCAGGGTCTTCAGGGACTCCCTCAGTTGTCCTGCCCAAGCTCAGTGGTTTTGCCTGTTAGCTCATGACTCTCATGCCAGCCTTGGGGGGGTGACAGTGAAATAAAGGATGAAGAGAAGAGCCAAGATGACATGAAACAGTCTGGGACACAACTCAAGGCAAGGCCATCACCCCGAGCTTTGGCAGACAATACCACTTTGGGCACAAACTGTGTGCCCAGCTGTTCTGTCCCTTTCCTCTTGCCAATCTGTCATCCCAAGAGGAAAGAGTTTGCAAGAGTTTTCTTTTTTTTTTAAATTATACTGACGAACAGCTATCAGTTGTGGAGATGAATAGGTTTTGCTGTGGTATCTCCATACATAACATTTTTTTCTTATCATAAAAATATATGTGAGAATATTGGGATACTCACTGAACCTAGACACACAGGGGTGGGTCTAGTCCCTATCCCAAAGGATATGATACTCTTAAGACCCCCTATGGAAGGCCTGACCCTCCACGGGGAGCAGAAAGGGTATGTGATAAGTAGGATCTTAGTTGGGAGGGGGGAAGGGGAGGAGGGGAGGGAGAGGGAACTGGGATTGACATATAAAACAATCTTGTTTCTAATTCAAATAAAAATGGAGAAAAAAATATATGTGAGATTCAGAGGTAAAGAACACTGGCTGCTGCTGCAGAGGACTTGAGTTTGGTTCCCAGCACCACACTGCTGCTCACAACAGTCTGTAAATCCAGTTCCAGGGGATCTGATGTCCTCTTCTGGCTTCTGCAGGCACCAAGCATGCACACAGTGCACATAAATATGTATAGACAAACCTCATACACATAGAATAAAAACAAATAAATCTTTAAAAAAGTGAGTTAGTGCCGGGCGTTGGTGGAGCACGCCTTTAATCCCAGCACTCGGGAGGCAGAGGCAGG